GTACAAGGTAATTCATGATCGAGTCTATGGCTAGCTGCCTTCATGATGGTGTTTTCTGTTTGTTCTTTTTTTATTTTCGGTATAAGAGAAAAAAAACAAAAATAAATAAAAACAAAAGAGAATAAAAATGCACATATTATACTTATCGCTATCGCTATCACAAAAGACCACGTGTCTCTCAACCTGAAACACATAAAATATAAACCCTAAACCCTAAACCCTAAACCCTAAACCCTAAAATATAAACCCTAAACCCTAAACCCTAAACCCTAAAATATAAACAATAAAATATAAACCCTAAAATATAAACCTAAAATATAAACCCTAAACCACAAACAGCACAAACAAAAACCTCTAGACCATAAGCCCTAAACCACAAACCCTAAACCCTAAACCACAAACCCTAAACCATAAACCCTAAACCCTAAACCCTAAACCCTAAGCCCTAAACCACAAACCCTAAACCCTAAACCACAAACCCTAAACCATAAACCCTAAAATATAAACCCTAGACCCTAAACCCTAAACCACAAACCATAAACCCTAAACCACAAACCATAGACCCTAAACCCTAAACCCTAAGCTACAAACCACAAACCCTAAACAGTAAACAATAAACAACAAACCGTAAACCCTAAACCCTAAATAATAAACAAAAAACCAACAGAACAAAAACAAACAAAACATTATAATAAAAATAAAAATAATAAAAATAATAAAAGTTGTGAAACAAATGAGAAAAAAATAAGAATGACAGAAAATAAAAACAAATAAATACGGAATAGAAAAAAACAAAAAAAAATAGACTAAAATAAAATAAAATAAAAATAAGATAAAATAAAACAAAATAAATAAAGATAAAACAAACCAAAAGCAAAACAAAACAAATAAAATAAAAACAAACAAAATAAAAACAAACTAAATAAAAACAGAACAAAATAAAATAAACAAAATAAAACAAAAATAAATACAACAAATAAAAATATGAAACAAACAGAACAAAATAAATAAATAAATTAAATAAACAAAATAAATAAATTAAATAAACAAAATAAAC